GAGGTGGAATAAAACGTTTCTAAAGACAGGCGTGGTGGAATAAAACGTTTCTATAGATAGGCGAGGTGGAATAAAACGTTTCTATAGACAGACGAGGTGGAATAAAACGTTTCTATAGATAGAGGAGGTGGAATAAAACGTTTCTAAAGATAGGCGAGGTGGAATAAAACGTTTAAAAATTATATCAAGACATACAACTGCAACCAATCCATTTTGGAAATACGTCCATACAACCTTTATTGTTTAATGCGCAATCCCCTCTCTTTAATTGTAATTTAAAGTGCACGAGATAAAGATTTAGAAAACCCAGACCACTAATGTATTAAGAAAACCTAAGCCTAACTAAAAACAAAGTAACAGTTAGCAAGTTTAAGTTTTTTAAAGAACAATGTTATTTTTATAATTAGATTATATCTGCTGTAAAATTTAGTCTGAAGGGGATAAAATAATGATATTTGAGGAGATTAAAAGATGAAGCATTAACGTATAAAGTAAGCCTAATCTTAAATCTTAAATATTGAGAATAAAGGAACAGTTAGCAAATGTAGAAGAAATTGTAAAATAATTTTTTAGAAGAAAATTGATTTTTTTTATCAATTAGATTATATCTTCTTTTAAGTCTGATGGAGATAAAATAGTGACATTTAAAGAGCTTAAATATGAAGCATTAACGTGTTAAGGAATCTTACATATTAAGTTTTAAGAAACATTTAGCAAGTTAAGGCGAAACTAAATTTTTAGTTAAGAAGAAAATTGAAGAAATGATTTTTTTGTAATTACATTATATCTGCTTTAAACTTTAGTCTGAAGTGGAGAAAAAGTTGATATATAAAGAACTTAAAGTTGAAGCATTAACAGGAAGGCAGGACTATTAAATAATGAAATTAATTACTATTAAGATTAAAGGGAGTGTTTCTGCATTTTAAAAAGGGTATAGGATCATCCATAATTAATATTTTTAAGCGGTACTAGTTTCACATTTTTCTTATGTTACTCTTTAGAGTATTAATAAAACATAATCCTCAGCAAAAAAAAAACATGAACAGTCCATTTAGATTTGAATTAAATTAAGATATTATGAATATATTCCTTAGAGAACTCTCCGAATTCCATGTGAAGAACTTCAGTTTGTAAACTCTCCATAAACAGAGTGAAATCCTAAACAGTCTTATTATTCTCACTGGATGTAACAACCGGGTCTTGGGGATGTCAGTTATCTTGTTTTCGCTTTCTGGGACTTCCACTTCAAGTCCCAAGAGTTTTTTATAAAATAAGACTCCTAAGTGACTTTAAATTTAGGCTGAAAGAAAAACTTCTACTAATTAGGAGAACTTAGGAACTAGGGAGTGATTAGGCATGTTATGTGCTTTTTATATAATGCATATGTTTTACTGTGTAAGAAACGGTGTCATATCCGGATATTTCTTGTGCCCTTTTTTGTAATGTTAGAGACGGGTAATATAAGTTTTGCGTGTTTCTACCAGGAAACTTTTCCCTTTAGATTATGGCTAGGATTAGTAAGTGGCCAAGTGCTAAAGATGTTTTACTTGGAAAATTTTTCCTTTTCAAGTTCAATTGGAAAATAGCACAATTGTGAAATTGTCCCTTTGAAAGATATGGCTAGGAAAAGTTTCCAGAAACTGTACCTCAAAACTGTACCTCAAAACTGTATGAGGTACAGTTTTGTACCTTAAAACTGTACCTCAAAACTGTACCTCAAAACTGTACGGTACCTCAAAACTGTACCTCAAAACCGTACCTCAAAACTGTACCTCAAAACTGTACCTCAAAACCGTACCTCGAAACTGTACCTCAAAACCGTACCTCAAAACTGTACCTCAAAACTGTACCTCAAAACTGTACCTCAAAACGAAGTTCTCTGTCTCCCTTCTTTCCGAAGAAATGAACGAGGATGGTTGTATCAACAGGAATATCTGAACAATAAATATACCCAGGAGCTGTTAACATATTCTGAAGTGATCTTCCATATATGTTACAAGGCTGGTACAGAAAAGTACCCTTTTAACCTTTGTTTCAACAACAATGATGGACAAATCTTTGTTTTTCAATCTGAAAATCAAAATTGATAATTTTCAATTGTTATATCTGTATAAAAGTGACTTACGCAGGAGAAACAACAATTGAAAATAACGGAATTCATCATTGAATAATTTGAAAGTGATGCTATCTTTCTCATTGTTGCACACTGCTCAGAGCCTTTGAGCCTTATTTGCTTTCTTTAAAACACCATTTTTAGACACAAGACAAAACTGCACAAATCTACCTTTTTGTAGAAAGTCGTCTTCCTTACTATCTCCCTCTACCTCTCGTCGTTCCCTGGAATATATAAACTTAGTCAATTGAATAAAATGGTTCACGGGAAAAGATCATTTTAATTCTAATTTTTTTCAATATAATGTTAATATGAATGTAAAATTTAAAAACTGTTTGAACTTAACTTTTAACCCTGTGACGTGCTATTTTACGTTTACCAATTGAGAGAGCTAGCTTTTTCTGATTTTAGAAGTTTTGAGCAGTACATATCAAAATAAGTCGTTAAAGCTGGAGGATATCGTAAAGATTTGCCCAAGAGGTTTTTTAAAAGAGAAAATTATAATAATAGAATAAACCCAAATATGATCTTCTCCTTATCCCCAATTGTTTATCAGCAACCGCTTTAAAATCTTAAAACTTTGAAGAAAAATCTCAAAAAGGAACGTTGTAACTGGAAAAAAACTGCCTCTCTGCATTCAACTTAAACATGTGAACTCTTAAAAACGTTTTAAAATTTCAAAGCAAACATTTTTAGACTAACCTGGGGCTGAATTTAATAAATTTGAACTGTCTACCGCCGATACAAATTTGAATAACCGATTCAAAAACTTTAATCTTTAACTTGGAGTCGATGGTTAAAGTTTGAACCGGTAAGTAGGTAGTTCAACGACACAGCTTAAATTCATGAAATTCAGTCCCTGGACAAAAAGCATGTGTGTCGGGTTCTGTATGTTATCACCTTATCAATTTTCTCATTACCATCATGGTCCAACATAGAGAATGCAATCCTAGAAATAAATTTTCCAGTGATCATCAAGTTTTAGATTATCATATCCTTCCCTTAAAAATCTTTGTTTGATCAATGATCATGCATAACTTAGCATTTTTATTTAAATTTTTTGTTGTTTTCAATTGTGAGTATTCCACAAAGTGACTTGTGCATTTCTGCTGCAGAAACATGGAAGTATGATCAGGATTAAACACTTTTCAACCACTATGTCTTCCACATTAAAGATCAGTTAAAGGTTTCAGGGGTACCGTTGTAAATCTGGCATTCCCCTTTTAAAAATGGAAGATCATGATGACAGCTCTTCAAGTGTCAAATGTTTAAATCAAGCTTCATGATTTGGTTCATGTAACACTGCTAAACCTTTTCCATCTGAAGTTTTACTTTTAAACTATAGTACAGACATAATTTATAAGTGACACAATAATACCACCAACTACTGAATCAAGGGTCAATACATATTGTGCCTACAGTGCATTTAATAACCCTCCTCGGACACAATAATACCACTAGTTGAATCAAGGGTCACTACAAATTGTGCCTACAGTCCCTTTTAGGGTAAAGCAGGCACAGTTTACTGTATAGAATACAACTTTTGCAAACAAACTATAACTTCTTAGAAACAATTGTAATCACAAAATAAATTGTCTCTTTTTTATATTTTTAAATGTCAAAACTAAAATTTTTAGAAAATAAATACATCTTTTATTTAAAGGGGAAAAAAGAGTAAAAATGGTGCTTTATTGCATCTTAAAAATATTAGAAGAAATTTTCCTTGCAACTGAGTGACTAACAAGGTTTAGAAAAAAAGAATAAAAAGAAAAACAAGATAAGTAAAAAACAATAAATTCAGATCCTTTGTAGAAACAAATATATTTTTATAATCAACAAAAGCAAGTATTTTTACCATGTTCATAATGTTCACAAAGACATTTATTTAAAGATAGATTTCAACAAAGATTTTAGAAATGTTCTGATTTTGATACCTGAACCCGGATGTAGGTTTGATCAGAATAGTCAGAAGGAACAGATATTCGGAGTAAGAAATCAGACCTTTAGATCCAATGTTCCTAAACAAATAAACAAATTTAAAGTACTAGGCTTTCAGGGCCGGCTCTAGCTGTGAGCATTGTCACTTCAGACATTACAAAACACTTCAAACTCAAGTAAAATGCACATAAGATTAAAATCTAATATATTTTTTGGTATAACTAATTTTATTGAAGAGCTATTTAGAAAAACAAAAATGTGCTGAATAACCGAGTAAATTTGGATTTTATAAACTTGTGCGTAAAATCAGAATAACTAAATACGCAACGGAGTCACAAAGTCGTCACAGTAATGTCAGTTGAATTTGACCTTTTCTTCTCGTAGTTTGCAATGAAAACAATAGAAAAAAAGTTTCACTGAGATTTTTTTTTCAGCAGGTTTTTTACGAAAGTTTTTAGGAGTCAAATTCTGAGCATCCATAAATCTTCCCCGTGGTCATGTGAGAACAAACAAGAAAGTATATGCATATATAGATTAAATAAAAGTATATGTATATATAGATTAAATAAAAGTATATGTATATATAGATTAAATAGAAGTATATGCATATATAGATTGAATAAAAGTATATGTATATATAGATTAAATAAAAGCCAAAACCAGAGTTGTAAATTTATAATTGAGTGAAGGACCTAAACCACCTCGTCTGTAAGGTTTAACAATTTGTTTGGCTAAGTTAAACTGCTGATCTCTGTATTTAAAGCATTCATTAATTTACAACCCTGAGAAATCTAAATGGAGTCTTTGCCACAAACTCTGATTTTTTAATCCCTATATCTGTGCAATTTTATTCAGGGAATTTTGACTATTTAGCCAAGAAAAGTAGCTATAATAAAACTACAGTAAATGTAAAACCCATATAACAGTGGAATAGGAAGACGACATTAAAGATAACTTTTGTGTTTTTAATAATATTTTGAAGAAAATTGTTTATCTTAGATTTTAAGTTATCTTCTTAAGTAAAATGGGTTCACTGCACGATTGCTGTGTTTTGTGTTAATTGTGCTATTTACAATCAAAACTGAAAGTCGTCTTTTAATTGCAGAGTTTGATGGGTCTCCCTGTATACCTCGTCTAGTGTGAGTTTCCTTCTCTTGATTCTAGGTTTAGGTTCAGATTCAACAACGGAGTCAAGAAAATCCTAAACCAACAAGTTTTTATTATCAGGTTTTGAAATCGAGCCGGGAACTTTTGAATGAAACTACAGATTTTAAGTCGCAAAACTGAGTGAAATTTCCAATCTTCCAATGAGAGATTGGAAAACCTTCACAATTTAAATAATTTTCAATCCATCATTCGAAACTAAGGGTTGAGAAGTTATTTAGCTAAACTCAATCTTATTTAAAAGTTTCCAACAGAGTCCAGGTTGAGTTCAAAAGGTGTATGATATAGCTCAAGAAAAAAATATGAATTCCACTTGTATTTTATTTAGTACACAGTACACACATAGGATAAGAATTCAGAGACGACTGTACAGAATTTATAATTAATTTAACCTTGGAATCGTCAGATTCAAAGAGTTACAAGTCGTCTTTACAGTCTCCTCCCTGGTGGGTAACCCTGTAGTATGATGCTTTTTTTCCAACGCTAATGTCAAAACGTATTTTCAAAGTAGCCTGCAGTGTTTGACCATCTGCGCATGCACGGCCAAATGAATTCCAGTTGATATTATATTCACTAAACATAAAAGAACCAAACACCCAAACCCACATAAAAGTCCAACCAATCGATCGTTCTTAATTTGATAAAAATAAGAAGAAAAAACGTGCATAGTAACAAAAAAGAAAAAAGTATTTAGTAAGGAAAAAAATACCTGGGGAGTCATAAAAATCTGTCCGTTAAGTTCAACTGAGGAAAACTTAATAAATCTTTTCTCTCTAAAATATTTACAAGTTCAAGATTAAAGTTAAAAAAGTGTACACTTTATAAGACAGAGCTGGGAACCCTAGTATTGCATGATCTTGATTTTTTGTTAATCAGCAGATTTATTCAAGCTTTATTTGATATCCCGCATGGTAATCGTACCCGCTAAGGGATTGAAGGAACTTTGTTGAAGGGAGGAATAAACTGAAGAGATTAAGCATTGATCCTCAAATTAACTATAGTTCCCAGTTCAGCACTTCTAACTAGTTTTAGTTTGAATCGTTCACAGCTTTGATCATTAAAAAAAAAGGTTTTACCTCTGTATCTTTCGTAATAATTAAATTTCACGAAAACCAAGCAATTAGTTTTATTTTTATTATTTTTAAAATAAGTTTAAAAATAAAAATCAAACCCGTGAAAAAAATACAACAATTTCAATATTTCAAGAAACTCTTATTAATATTAAGTTTAAACAACTTTTTTGTGAATGAAGGTTATCAACACAGATTCTCATTTGATAATCCCTAAATCTTTGCAACCTAATTATGTAAACCTATAAATTCCAACTGTTTTACAATGTCCGATTTACAGCGGTACCCTTAAAAGCTTTGTCTGATTAAGAATGAATTAGTTATTAATGTTTTTGTTTTATTTGCGGTTTCTCTGCAAAAGTGACCTGCCCATTTCTTGGTTAAAGGAAGCAATGGAGAAACTCACAGAAATAAACACCTTTCGATTTATAAAAACGATGGTATCTTCCACATGTTTGATCAGATTAAGGTTTCAAGGGTATAGTTGTAAATCGGACATTGCCATCTTTGCATGGAGGGTCACTTGAACTTAATCTTACAGTCCCTTTAATGAATAAAAAATTAAAAAATTTGCAAATATTCCTTGGAGATAAAATCCGTTTCCGTTCTTCCTGTTCTCCTCCTGAAATAAATAGCTTTAGGGTCTCTTCCTCTTTTAGAAATTTTAATCCTGTTAAAGGGATAGCTAGCGTAAAGGGATAGCTAGCGTAGAGGGATAGCTAGCGTAAAGGGATAGCTAGCGTAAAGGGATAGCTAG